CTATAGATAGAAGCTTTTGAAGAACATTAAACCACCCAGGCGAGTTGGGATTTCACTCTCCTCAGCAGATGTTTATTTACTAACTACCTTGGGAGGCTCTGTTGCGGACCTCTGTCTTCACTCACTCACTACTAGCTTTGCCTTCGCCTCCTCTCTTGAAAACGTGCCTCTTATTCTCCATTTATGGAGCGGTAGCAACTTGCTTCTTCACTCATATTTTGCCATGTACACCTAGCACTTGCTGCATCAGAAGCCTCCCTTCATTGCTTGGCCTTTCAGGCTTGATTTTAGCTACTTTTTTTTTTTTTTTTTTTTTGCATTTTGTGTTGATCTGTTAGACCACAGAGCACATTGCACTGTTTTTCCTTGGCCTTCAAGTTTTTCTCGTTTCTGATAAGAATTGAGCCAAGGAAATGGTCCCAAACATGCCTTCTAGAATCAAGAAAGGCTGAAATGGTCTTAAAAAAGTTTCTCCAAAAGTGTACTTTTGAGCCAATCATTTTTCCCGTGCCTTTTAGCCTTTTGTTTGAGAATTTTGCCAATAATTCAATAGGTCCCCTGTAAGAGAAAAATGCCAAAATTGCTTAGTGGCATATAGTTCTAGCCTAAATTCTACTATTTTACAAGGGGAAAAAAGATGGTAAAGTAATGCTCATAATCATACATATTTGTCAAACATGAACTCCCCCAAATATAGAGGGTTGCATGTTCCCAAGAAATACCAATAATCCTCCCCCAAATACACTCAATCGCATAAACTATGTTAGACGAATGTCAAATTTGTGCCTCAAGATCATTACAAAGATATATATCTATTCAGCCATGAGTTATATTAATGAGATAGTCCACTACCTTGAGTTTGAGAATATTAGCACATCAGCTGAGTTCCTGTCAGCCTAAGAATCCATTCTAAAATATAAGTTCAATTCGAGTTCAGATGGACATTCTTGTGTAATATTATTCTTTCCTTATCATATCCAACTAAGGAATTCACACTAAGAGCAAGATCTAAGGTCTTTACCTCTTAGTTCAGTTGGTATTTTAGTATCGATTCTCCCTCATTAACCATTTTCCAGTCTTCCAAATTGTTTTTTCTTTCCATAATTCTTTCTCACTCGGACCTTACCACCAGAATTTTCAGCAAATTATAGTAATGTACAAAAGTTTCTTTCACCTCACCAATTTTCCTGAGGATTCTCCACTATTTAGTTGGCAAGTCTTACCTCTCAGGAGTTACGGTGCCACATTGGGCAGGCTATCTTTGTTCCCTCTTTCAGATACAGCATCCTAACGTACCTGAGTTTCATTCAATAACCCCTCTATTATTCCCCGGTATTCAAGCTTTTACAAACTACTATGGGCTCCAGTGGAGACTCCCATAATGGCAAGGGTTTCCTCAGACTAGGTTCTAGGTTTGGAGTACTCCCAAGTCTCGAATAACTAGGAACAATCATATAAAACACAACAATGAGTTAAACATGCAAAATTTTACATTACGGTGCACATAATCACTCTATTAAGTGGTAATGGGTGAGAGCGTGAGTGGATGTGAACTACCCTACTATGCTCTAAATATTACTAAAAGATGTTCGATTCAAGTTTAGTAGTGATCATCTTATGCAATTGACACAACTCAGCTTATAATTTATGAGAGATAACTTGAAACTAAGAATAAATAGAGGCTTAAAATACAAAAATAAATCACTAGGAATTTAAAAAACATGCCAAAATTTTCCTGCAAACCTAAATGACAAGAAAAAGAAAAGACAAAAAATTAAAGAGCTAAACTAAAAAGAAAACAAAACTATTGTACATCCCTTGTACACTACTCCCTTCCCCCAGACTTAAAATGAAGCATTCTTACCAATGCCCTAACACTTGAAGAGTAAATAGAGAGCTGGTGGGAGGAGTGGACAGAGACTTCCCTCTAATCAATCCTAGGAAGAAGTCCCCTTGTCCTTTTGCTACTCACAATAACTAGAGCATCCAAGCTTCTCATGGAGATGTTTGAATTATCATTCAATTCCTTGAAATTCTTTTAGCGCATACTCCAGGTTGTGGATCTGCAGCTTTGTTAGCTTGGTGAAATTCAGTTTCCTGTGAAGCGGCTCCAGTTTGTCGGCAAAAGGCACGTTACTGCTTTGCATAGAATTTTGATCAGGACATGGAAGAACCAACTTCTAACAGAGCTATCCATGATATCGTGATTCATCTAGTTCCTAATGATGGTGGCCACATCAATAGATGTAGATGTGGCAATAGCGTACAACAACATGGCTTTGCCATACGTCACTCTAGTAGAGTAAGTGGTAGGCATGAGATTGTAGAAATGAACATGAGCTAGAGGTTGAATGTTGGTGTCAGAGCAGAAGTAGGAAATTGATATGGCACACTAGTAGGGTTCAGCATCAACGTAGGTTCTCCACATGTGAGAGTTCAAAAAACTCCCTGAGTTTAGTGGGACTGATATCAACATAACAATCCCTGACATAAACAACATCACCTTCTGCATCCAGAAGGTTTCTGCAAAACTCCACTACCGCATGCATTTGTGGCTCTGTTTGCGGGTGTTAGAACTTGTGCCACCTGTATCTGGTTCAATGTAGAGTGGGGTCATGTTCCATATCAATCCCTCTCTCCACTATCACTTTCAGTGTCCTGTAGTTTTTTAAAATTTATGGTTGTTTGAGATGGGATGATTTTTTTGTTGTGATTGATTAGTAACACATCTTCTGTTGCCCTCCTTTGTGATCTATCGGGTTGCAGGAGAGGAGGTTGCGGAGAATTCTAAACTGCAATACTCAAGTGTTGGTTGGTTTTCCTTTAGGCAGATTGAATTGGCTCTGGATGGCATTTTGTCCTGAAAAACAACTTCCTTCCTCCTATATCCAGAGTGTGAAGCTGTAAGATTAAGAAAGTGAAAACTCTTGGTGTGGGTCACTTGTGTGTATGGGATCTTTGGCTCTTAATTGCTAGTTTGAGGATGGTTTTGCTTTGAAATTCAGAAGGGATAATATTGTGTGGTTGAAGCAACCTTGAGGGTTCGTAGATGTTTCAGTTGTTTTGGGGAAGTATCACAGCTTTTAAAGGCAACAAAAGATTAGATCACAAGGAAGGGAAGTGGTTAATTGAGGTCTTTGACTTTAAAGAAAACTCATCGGGGAAAGAAGTAATTAATCCAAAGGGAACAAAAATTATTAGTTTCAAAATAATTTTACCTTCTGATGGGTGTCGAATCCACCAAAATAAAACCTACTTAAAACTTGCACTAAAAGATAAGAAGGGTCGATCCTACAGAGACGTTGAATATTAAAGAAAACTGGGTTTGAGTTCAAGAACGAAAGATGTAGTCAGATTGTTGCCTGAGCAAGTGACTTTCTAAATTGGCTAAGTCAATGAAACCTAGGGTCACCCTCCTTTCTACTTTATATGCATATGTTTTGATTTTAGTGCTCTCTTGGGGGTATGAAATTGTGCTCAGTCAGACCGGTTCATCTAGGAATCGGTCAAGTTGCATGTCCAATTTACACTCAAAACCGGATTGCTAACAAACTGGTCCAAATCAAGTTAAATCCACTGTTCGTTAAGGACTCGGACTGTACTGGTTGACCTTGTCCTTTACCTCTTTTATCGATTTTTTTTTTCTTTTTGAATTATAGCCCTTTTTCTATGTCATTTTGCTCCATTGACTCCTAATTTAAGTTTATAGTTTTTTGGGACAAAATTTTTATCGTATATCAATAATTATCAAACCATAATGTGAAATACATTATTTTTTAAATAACATTACTTTTGTTAGTTAAGTTACCTATTGCAACTCAAAAATTATTTATTCAAATTAATTTTTTTGTCTTATCTAACTTTAAACTGTTATGTTTTGTATAAATTTTAACATAAAAGATAATATTTTAATACTAATAGCTTTAGATTTTGCATACTTTATGTATTTTAGATTTAAAAATTATAGATGTCGTCATGCTGGTCTTATCCGATTTTGTCTTGAACTAACTAGGTTGGCACAATGACCCAGTGACCCTTTCTTAGAACTAGCATAGATTAACTGGAGATTGCAAGGAAGTAATCAAACAAAGATAATTTAAAAATAAAGGAAAAAAACTTTTGATAATTCTTCAGTAATTTGCAGAACTGAAGGAAATGAATACCTATAGAGTGATTCCAGCTTATTGTAACATAATCTTAACAACCGTAGCTGGAATTACCTAACTTTGCTGAAGAATCCACCGTTAAACCCTCAACGACGTAGTAATCATTGGTAATTAATGCATTTTAATGTAATAATTAACTCTATGCGAATCTATAAATAACATAAATTGCAAGTATTATATTTTACTGTCCCACAAGTTTGACAAAATAGTAAATAACCCCCAGATATATGACGATGATGAAAACTCAATCTCCCTTATGAACAACCTCCGCCTCAAGGTTGAAACTTTGGAAACTGCTTCTTCACGAACACTTGATCCTCCAAAAGATGCTTCCTCTGGTCCTAAACCCTTCTATTCCATCAACCATTGCATTACATTACGCTCAATAAATGATCTTTGATGTATTTTAGCCGGCTGGAGGGTGCATTCTTCAACTAAGGGAAACTCTGGTTGTGGTGTTCTTGCTGTTGGTTCTTGCTGGTGGTTGTTACATAGTGGTTCATTTCAAGGTTGTAACAGGTGTTGTTACGCTTTTCTCCTGATATGATATAATTGTGGTAGTAATTGGCCTGGGGACAAGATTGTTTAGAAGGGGGAGAGATTGTCATGTCCTCCGGTTTCTTTGGGTGAGATTGATAGAAGAGGGACTCATCTGCAATTAACCATATTGTGCTGAACTTATAAATAGAGTCCGAATTGTAACTCAGTATTAGGGAAAAAGGAACTATTTAATACTTCTTTCTTAAATTTTTTTCTTTTTTTTGCAATGATGTCATTATAAAGTATCAAAGGGGATGGCAAAAAGGGGACACTTCTTAATTTGGACAAAAATGTAATTGTAATGAATGTTAAGAATAATAGTAATAATTGTTACACTATGATCTTTGAATTGATTGCTGGCTATCTCCTTACAGTTAAAAAAAAATAAAAGATTTCCAAAACCAATGCTGGCTCCACACGCTCGAAACAGGCTCACTTGTAACCGTTGTAGTTTCCGGCACAAAATAAGCAAAAATATGAAGAGAAACAACCGCAACTCCAAAATCCACAAAAAAGGTCCAGCCACCGATTTTGCAAAGAAGTACGATTGAGTAAATATTTTTTGAAATTGTTACTATGAAACCAAAACAATTTATCATAACTCCGCCTAATGTGCCACCTCTTCCAAGTGAGGAGTTAACCCACCCATGTGGACTCATCAAAACGGTAACTCCAAGATCACCAATCACAATCATAGCTGCAGCAACGTAGGCAGGAACCTTCTTTATATCTTCCATAGATGAAGTGTATGAAACAAACACAATACCTAAAATGAGCTGCAAATTTTGGATGAAATTGGTTAGATAACTTAATATAGTTTCATCTGACTAAAAGTGAACTTTAGAGAATAGAGACACCAACCTGTGATGCCGCAACTAATATAAATGAGATTATATACGGTCTTCGCCTCTTATATTTCGGTAGTAACCAAGAAAAGATGAAGGTGAACAAAACTTCTAGTAATCTAGCTACCGCGACTACATAATATTGTTGATTTTTAGCCGTGAACAATGAGCCCGCTACAAGTGGGCCAAAAAACAACATTGGAGCTGTCGTTACTAATTGCGGCAATAGTACTGATGTGAGCATTATGGTTAAGGTTGGGAGGGCCGAATTGCTAAACAATGCTCTTGCTTGACTCATTTTTTGGCTTTCTCGTACGTCACTCAAAAGACTTTCCCACTCCATTCTTATATCGGCAACTAATCGATCAGGTCTCATTTTGACTAATATCTCCATACCTTTCATTTCCTCATTGATCTCAATATAGTACCTTGGACTTTCGTCAATCCATCCCGAGACCAAAATCAGTAGGAATACCAACACACCCAAGACTGCAAAAGGTACCCTCCATCCCCATTCATCTTGAAATGAAGCTCCACGGTTGACCAGTGATGCAAGTGCACTTCCTAACACTTGATATCCAAATAATGTTCCAAAATGTCTTCTTAACTCTTTCGAAGCCAATTCTGAACAAAGAATGGGGATGACCTAATATGCATTAACATTATATTAGTAGAGTTACACTATATGTTATTGAAAAACAAGCTTAAAATCATGTTTAAGAGAAGGCTAACCAGGCAATGAAATCCCACTCCAATTCCAATCAAACTCAATCCGAATATGTTGATAGAAGTACTCGGGAACCATATTGCTAGTGATATTCCAATTAGCTCCATGAAAGATCCCAAGAATAACAATGGTCTTCGCCCCATCTTGTTCATCAAGACAAATGCCAAACATAAACCGAAGGCTGACGAAGGGTAGATGACTGATGAAAGAGCGAGAAATGAAGGATCTGAAAAGACACAATAGTTTGTTCCCCAGGAGATATTTTGCTTGCTAAACAAAGTGGGGCTAATTTTCTTCAAGAAAATTGGCATGGCAAAAACCGGCTCTGTTGTTTGAAAAATGAAACCTGATCAGATCATATTTATGATATAAGCTTAATAAATAAATTAATGAACTCCATGAAGTATGAAATTTTCATAGAAAATAATTAAATCAAGCATGTGCACGGAATTATATTTTGCTCCTTTTTTTATTACTATCATACTAAAACGTTGCCTTGAAAATTTTCAACTTCCTAATCCTGCAAATAGTGACAATTAGTACACATCCTAAAGTTGGAAGCATAGAGAAACTCATTATGCCGATTGCCGAACAACAAGTTGTCCATGTAGCGAAGACTGCAAAAATTGAAAACCTTCATACACATTTTCAAAATCCACTTTATCAACTTGAATTTAAGAAGTGATGCTGCATTGCGAAGTTTCCATATTCTTAGGCCTAGCTAACTTTATTCATAAAGTTATCTTTACGATTACAAAACATAAACATAGTTACAATTACTTAAACAACCCGATGAAGAACTCTTGAAATATTAAGAAATTACAAAGCTTCCAAGCAAACTGCAATGAGAATAATCTACTAATAAATATGCTTGGAAATTAAATTTTTTTCAAGGGCTCAAAACAAGAAAACATGCATGATATAATTTGTATATCATGAAAAGTCATTGCAGACGAAAATAAAATTTTCGAATCAGTTTAACTTCAATCCAAAGTTATGCAAAGCTATGGCATACAGAAATTGACAATGCGTCCTTCCTAATCAAATAATTATTCTACAAGAAGAATAAGTGGTAAAGTAGATAAAAGGCCTTGTATGGCCAGCCTCTTAATTAGAGACAAAAAATATTTTTGGTTCCATTTAAAATCATATGTCGAGATAAAAAGTAAAACAGTCATTAAAAAAATTTTACTCACTTTCTAATTTTTTTTAACATTATTTATACAGTATTGAATCATCACCACCGGACCACCCTCCACTCCACTGTCACCAGACTGAAATAAACTCAAATGTGCAAATCGAATGACAATGTAGCTAAAGTAAAATATACCAAAAACTACACATGAAAGTTAATTAGTTGAAGAAAAAACATACCTAAAAAGCTTGTGGCATATCCAATGACAACCCCACCTAACACGGCCAACAACCTCAAAGCAACAAGAGGACATGGATGTTTTTCTCGTGTGTGCAAAGGTTTCCAAGGCATGCCTTCTGAAGAATCCTTTTTTCCTTCCGTTGTACGTTCCTTGTTTTCTTCCGTCTTTGGAGACTCTTTATTTTGTTCAGCTATTGCATCGTCGTTGCCTCCAACATTTAATGGAATACCAGTGTGCTCATTTGCTGCCACATGACCAACCACCACTACTTTCCCGTACTTAATCGCAAGATTATCCATTGCGCTTTCTTCAAGCTCTACATTATGCCTCTAAAATATAGAGTAAAAAATTTAGTTTTTAGCATCGCTGAAATATTCCGCATAGCTGAAATGATATACTCTTTCCTGTTCAAATTATAAGGCACAAATTTAAACTATCTTTAGTATTAAGAGTTATGATACACATCTCACCTAATTTATCTCACCTTTTCATCTTACCTTACATGGCATTTATTTATTGGATGAAATTTAATAAGTTATTAATTATTAGATAAAATCTAATAAGTTAATTTCATTATTTTTTTGGTAGATTTATTCACTTTTTGAATATTTTTATATCTAAAATTTTAAAATAAATTGACCCTAACCCCTAAAAAAAGTAAACCCTTTAGGGTAAACGTATAACTAAACAAAATATAATCAGTAGGCTGAATATTAATAAGATATATAATAATATTTAAATTTAATTTATTTAGATTTAAATAACAAACCATTGTCCAATTAGTAGATGCTCTGTAAACTGAGAGGATAAGGTGAGTTACCTATGATTATTCTAGTATTAAATTGTGACTTATAATTAGGAGCCGAAGAAGGTGGAGACAACAATGTAGAAGTGGTGTTTTACTACTTGCTTATTTCTCTCTCCAGCAAATCAACAAGAAATAATATAGTACCTCTGACTCTGAAAAAAAAGTGTAGTTTTGAAATCTGTACTATTTTTAATTTAAATTTTGAAAACACATTGTTAATTAGTTTTTACGGACAGAGGGAATAAAATTATTTGAAACAAGAAAACAACAGAAGAGACAAATGTGCGCGCGCTCACACACACTTATACCATGAATTCTGGATACTCTAGGTCATTGCTACTATATGATGTGTTCCGGACACTGTCTGATAGCCTTCTTGGTAGAGATGAGCCCTCATTGTTCATCTTTGAGGTCACTTGGAAAAGATCAGCACTCATGGTCCGCCTCATATGTAGTACATTTGAGGTCGCATAAAACTCATGTGCACTCTTAGTTTTCCTGAACGGTAGTATGGTTGATGACATGTTCGAGTAATGTAGTCCGTCGAAAATCGTACGTATATACCTAAATTTGACAAAATTGTTCAAACATAAATATGATATATCTCATATACACGTTTCGTATCAAAAGATATCTCATAAAAATACATGAATTTCGGTCTCAGAGCCAATTAGTGATAAATAAATTAATCTATATACAGTATACTAATACAACTTTCTCATTATTCTTTCTGCACGTCATGAATTTCGTTTCTTACATCACTTACATGTCATGTATTTATTTTACATCACTTATACGTCAAACTCCAACTTCCACGGCTACACGTCCTAAACTGTAGCTTCTTTTTTTTTTTGAGATTTAAATATCAGTAAATATACTAATACTTTCAAAGGAGACCTAATTGGACCTCTACAAAATTATATCTAATGTCTTGTATTTTCTGGACTTTTCAGAATTATTTTCTAGTAACACAATAAAGAAAAACAACAGGCTAAATTTTCTGTTATCGTGATTCACTTCTTTCATATCACAGATCTGAACTACCGCGTTTAGTGGACATATGGAGAATCCAAATTAGTGAGTGATATACAGGAAAACTGAACAATGTTAATTGAAAAAAGATTCACTAAAATATAATCAATCCGAATCCGAACCTAAACCAATCATTTGAAATAACTGTGTAAACCAATTTTGTTTATTTCTAACCCAGACCGGTGAACGTTATGTACCGGCTCACCGGGTATTGAGGACCGGCGGACGATTTCTGAGAGTTGGCCGACGAAGCGGCTGCGTAACATGGAGCCGGAGGTCTGACTTTCATGGTGGTGACGGCTGTGACAGCTGCCGACTTGCAGCAGCGGACGGTGGACCTCCGTAGCATCGGGTTTCTCACGGGCACTCAGATATGAGGCATTATAGTCTCGATCTGCATATGTCAAGACAGAATGGGGGTGGGGTGGCCGGATTCGTTAAGCCAAGGCGCGGCAGCTGCTTCTGCGGGAGATCGAGGCTGCGGGGAAAGAAACGCCTGATTAGCATCAGTAGCGGCTGTTCTGGCAGCGGCAGCCGAATCAAATCTAGGTAACAACTCAGGCTGTGACTGCCAGGCGGCTAATTCACGGCTAACGATCCCAGGGCAGCGCCTGATCTGCATCAGTAGTGGTTGTTCTTTGATGGCACGTCTGGAGCTGTTCATCTGGTGCCGGTTGCCGGATCAATTGTTGGCTGCTAGTTTGGTTTTCTTTGAACAAAGGAAAATAAATAAATAAAATAAAAGGGAAATTTTACACCCCCAACCACCGTTAATGGTAGTTTGGAGAGGAGGAAGGTGTTGTTGTGGTGTGCTGGCTGGGAGAGAGGGAGGAGAGAAAGAGAGGGTTTTTTTTTTTTTTGGGAGAGAGGGTTTTTTTTACACAGGAAAGAGAACTATAGCTATACACTCATTTTAATTCAATAGCCATATCACAATTTACTTCACCCAACATATATGAATGTTCACGAAAAAAAACAGTTCAAACAAAAGGAAAGAGAGGGGAAAAAAATGAAAGGAAGCAATAGGGAAATTAAAACCTATAGCGTTTATGGTAGATATTTTACGAAAAGAAGATCGGGTGCTTTCTTGGAGAAATTGGTGGTGGAGCAGGGACGACACAGCCGTTTATGTGTGCTCCACAATCTCCAATTCTGCAAAGGGTAAGTTGGCGGGACATGGCGAGTAGCGATCGGCCCCATGTTTATATGGGGGAAGAGGAGGAGGAGGGTGCTTTGTTGGAGGGGGGAGGGGTGGGGAACCTGACGTATTTGTGGACTATAGAAAGTCTGACCCGGATTTACATATTTCGAAACATTTTCATGACGTCCTATTAAAAGATGGGCAGCATGTAGCTCTTGTTAAGCTTATGGGGCAATCTATCACCTTGCCGGTGTTGTATAACCGACTCATTAAGTTGTGGCCTAATGTGTCTGGTATTGAAAGGATGATGGATTTGGAGAATGATTTTTCCTTGTTCAATTTAACACACATGAAGTAGTGAAGGTGTTGGTTGGAGGTCTGTATGTAATTCATAGTCATTATCTCCACGTGTAGCCGTGGAAGTTGGAGTTTGATATTTCGAAGAATGAGACCACCTCGACAGTGGCCTGAAGTAGGCTCCCTAGCATGCCGGTCCATCTCTACCCCAAGAGCGTCTTTCGCTGGATTGGTCATATTGTAGGAAAAAGTGGTTAAAATTGATCATCAAACAACAGCCATGACTCGTGGTAAATTTGCAAGATTGGCTGTACTGTTAGCCTCGTCCAAACCATTGTGTGCCCCATTTACAATTCACGACAAGGTGCAAAGGGTAGAGTATGAATGTCTCCCCGAGATTGGCTTTCAGTGTGGTATATATGGACACTGCAGTGTCGGATGTCTTGATCGTGTACCAAATGCCCCACAAGCTGAAGCTGGAGGTTTTACGGTGCCCGTAGCGATGGAAGTACACGACGGGCCGCACGAGAGCTGTCGGAAAAAATGGGATTTGGGCCATGGATGCAGGTGCCGCAGATAAGGGGACAGATAGTCAGCCTACCAAGTCAGCTGCCAATAATCCTAAGGTTGGGTCCTACTTTGACATTTTATCGAATGTTAGAAGAATGTCCACCACGGGTCCCGGCGGTCTATGCTTTCGGCAAAAAGGGGGTTAGGGAGAAAGGTGTGGAAAGATGCAAGTTCGAATAATGGTGCTCGCGGGTCTGTTGATCAAACGGGTTGTCAGGTTGGGCCGAAAAAACCCGAAAAGTGTGGAGCAATCGGAGGTAGTGCTGATGGGAATCATGATCGGTGTGGCGCGTTTGGGCTAGCTGAGAAGGACCCGAGACAATCTCAAATGCAAATTTAGAGTAAGGAGCCAATGAGCCAGGGAATGGTATTTGGGCTTGGCCAAATGGCTAATGAAACTAGGTTAGACCCATTGAAATACCAGAATGTCATTACATTGAAAACTGGATTTGATCCAACAGAACATCAAGTTGTGATAATTATCGACATCTAGATTCAAACACCCAGAGGCTGAG